ATTTTCGTCATTTTTCAAATGCGTCATTTTCGCGGGCTTTCGATCATTATTTCATCATTTCGACCATGTTGTTCCTTCAAGTTTCATCATGTTGCTGGCATGTTTCATCATAGTTCATCGTTTCTCTGCAGTTTTTCATGTTCTTCCTCATCTTCAGCATTTTTCTTCACGTCTCACCCTGTTTCCTTCATCGCATTTTCGTTCACTATATTTCGTTATTGTTCACAATAGTTCGTGATTTCTATCATTCTCAGCAAGTTTCATCATGACTTTCATTATTTCCAATTTCTCAGCATATGCCATGACTTTTCATAACTTGTCATCAATCTTCATCATTTCTCACTATGTTTTTCTCAACTTCCGTTTCTTCTATCCAAGATTTCGTCATACTGTAATCAGTCAAAGACCTTTGCGTATTTCTCACATCCTTCTTAAGTAATCAAGGTTTGTTGATTTCCAAGAGGTACAAGGCCGGCGTGCAGAGGTTTCAAGATGTTGTGAGTTCTGCCCGCGGATTGCACAGAAATTCTTGAGCTCCCTGAAAAGCTCAGTGTCACTGAGCCTGAGCAGAGACCTCCATGTGTCTTTGGCAAGAGCATCAAGATAATGTTGTCTCTGAATCACAGGAATAGAAGGGGTCCCCGACACGTATGCCCAAGCAGGGACACATCCTCTTCACGCACGAAGACGTCGATGCGCAAACACCATAAGAAGAAGCATAAGGCTAGCCTTGTGAACCCTGATATTGGTGATTATCGAAGACGTTTCAATTTGGCAGGACATGCGTGTACTGTTGTAAGTGTTTTGAGCGTTTTGGCAATCTTAGAGCCCATTTCATGAGCTCCTGCGCGCAACTTCCCACAGAAATGCCAGGTAATGATGCACTCAGTTTTTCGGTCATCACGGAGAGTCCTCAGGATGTGCTTGTCCTGAAAGTACACTCCGCAAGTTGGACAAGCGACTTCTTGTTCATGGCTGCGGACAGGAAGCTGGATGAGTCCCCCAGACTGAGTCGCTGAGGTCTCTGTCGCAAATTGCGTCAGGAAATTCAGATTGCCAGCAAAAACATCTCTAGCGCACTCGTCCTGACTCCTCTTAACCCTGCTCCTGAGCAATTTTGTCAGATAGTCCTTGGCCGATGTGATATTCAACCTAGCCAAGAGAGCCTCATTGCTCTCCTTCGTGAGGTGAACTGGCGATCTGGCTATGGCTCGAATGTGTTTCACTTCGTACACCAACAGCCGATGCAGACTTCTGTCGGTGAAGCCCACTGCGTGTAGTCCGTACATGATGCAGGATGGTATGCATGTGCAGTAGAGACGGAGTCTATGCCGAAGAGATATGCAGCGTGAGGAGTGCAAGAACTTAATAAGCAGTTGTCAGTTCATTGATGAAACCTGCGTTCGATGCCTTAGAGTCTGCGTTTCAAGATCAGCGTATGAGACTACCGCGCCAAGGTAGGTCATCTTTTGACAGACTGGGATAAGGGCTGACCAACCACACCCATGTCCACCGCCTGCCGACCCTGACTCATTTGAAGTCTGGGCTTTAACCACTTCCTGGCAGATCTTCCTCTAACCCCCAGAATGATGGCCGACTTGTTGGAGTTCACCTTCATCCCCAGCTCAGTGAAAAGCTGATAAGTAGCCCTCATGCATTTCAGGACATATGCGAGATCCGCAGTTGATTCAACCTCCCAGGAAAGATGACTGTCATCCGCAAAAAGCGTCACGAAGTTCTGTGCCCAAGTGGCATCTGTTCGCTCTTTGAGCAGGGCTGTGAAATACGCCGTAAAAATTTCGAACAAGGTAGGCGGCAGCGTACAACCCTGTCTTACTCCACGGCGCGTATCAATATTATCCTTGTGCCCTTGGTGCTCAACTCCATATTGCACAGTCTCATGTATGTGCGTAACAAGAGCACAGACGTCGGCGTGTACTCTGGCAAACTGCAAAGCGGACAGCGTGACTTCACGCGGTAACATGTCAAATGCCTGGCTAAGGTCTATGCTCATCTGCGCGCCTCCATAGCACGAAGATTGTTGTCTGCCTTCCCGCCTGGTGAAGACACCACTTCGACCCTGTTGTAGGCGAGTCCTGATCTTTCTACCGTGCGTAACCACTCTGGAGATCGCTTCATCAATTGTCTTGCCAGGACAATATCCAAACTGCGGACATGCCTGCAACACTGCAAAAGCCGAAGGCATAATGCATTCCTGCAGATATCGGACAAGTGCTTTGCTCCCTGGATCATGCAATCCTATGGGCCTAAGATCCTTTGGTCTCTTAATCTTTTTGCCAGGTCAGGGAGCAGTCTTTCCGCGTGGAATCGATCTGCACTTGTCCTGACTGCCGCTGACGCTCAAAATGCTCAATCATCCAACCCGACAGAGTACTCGAACAGGCACGCCAGATGGATGTGGGAAAGCATGTGCGTGGAACAGCCTTCCCTTTCTGCAACTTCAGAATGCACTGCTCAAAACCATGAGGACCAACGTGCAAGCCAGATGTAAAAAAAGAATACTGCAGCCGCAGGACCAGTGGAAAAAAACTTCTGTGAAGTATGTCTTGATATCAAGCATCTCCGATTATCCATCTTGGACCTGCCCCTCTTTGCTCCTGATCTGTGCCGGCTCCTTCCGATGCTTGGGCGCAAGCCGACGGATTATCCTGTACAACTCTGCCTGATTATGATGCTCCGCAGCATTCTCTGCCGCGTCCAGTTGTCTAAGGAGATTTTGTTTGCGCTGTTGCTTGCCCTGTGCACGGACCTGTTTGTGAGCCTTCGTAAATGCAGCAAAGCGGCGCCAGCTGTCGAAAGCGAGCTTCTGCATAATCGCAAAGAAGGAAAATTGTCGACCTTCCCTTTTCAAAGCAAGACAGTTATCTGCGCAGCTCTTGCTTGCTGAGTGAGGTGACTTTAATTGCTGAGTGAGGTGACTTTAATTGCCGGTACGCAGCCCACATCCGTGCCAGCCCACACCGCGCCGCCTCCGATTGCCATGGTTTTTGACTCCTCGCGGTCTGGGTGCGTGGAAAACTGTCGCAACAAAGCTTCAGCGCGGCAGAGTTTAAACCTTTGGGAGATAAAGGACGTCGGATGGCAGCCAGTTCCTGCGCCTTGGATATCAATTGTTGAGCAGCTTCAGTCTTGCACTGAAAAGCATTCTCCAGGATTCTCCAGGGCCCTCCTGTCGTATCCATCTGCGCTCATAGGTTTCCTGCCAGGAGTCCACACTGGAGCCAGTCGTAGACTCGCTTTGACCATTCCATGCTTGGAACCAAGACGCCAAGGTACCAAGTCCACGGTGAGCGCCTGAGCTCGCTTGGCCTGCAAGTCAACCGAGACCCGCCTAGTGAGCAAGAAATCAATTTGTGTAGGCTGCTCATTGAAAACATAGGTTGCTGAGGCTGTCGGACGCCGCGACTGCCACGTGTTCAGAACGCATAGATTCTGCCCAAATATGTAATCCATGAAGTCCGCGGTGTCATGCTTAGTGTCTTTTCCTGTCTGCAGGACTCCAAGACCTGCCAGAGTTAGGTGTGCAAGAACAATTAGAATCTCCACCAATTAGCAGTAGATTTCTTGGGCAAGCCGTCAGTCAGTCTGCCAAGTGCCGTCCACAGCTTGTGACGTTTTCCCTCCGCCTGCTTATCCGCGGCACCGTTCCATGCCCACTGATATACAGAAATCAGGTCTAAACCACATAAGCTCATGTCACAGCGAACATGCAGAATCCTGCCAGCTACAACCGCTTGATATCTTATGCTGTCGCTACGGACCAATCTCTCGGAGATGAACACGGCAGTACCTGCGAATGGATTGTTGGGATCCACTGTGGCAATGACATGCCAAGTTCCAGTGCTCCAGCTGGTTTCCAGTTCTTTGCCCAATCCCCAATGACACTCCTGTACGAAGACAATATCTGCATCAGTTTGCTTCTCCATCCATTGCATAAAGGAATCAAAGGCATCCGTGGAAAAACCGCCTCTGTTATAGGTGATTGCACGCAGTCTATCCGATTCAGAAACAGAATGCTTCTGTACTGGCCTGCTAGTGGAACGGGTCGTAATGCTGCGTCACCCACCTGCCCTTGTACCAGGTTCCCCCGATGCGTTGTTCGACGCTCGATGCCTGGCCCTTCTAAAGGATCTTTTCTGTTGGGGGGTGTAGCTCATTTTGCTGGGAAGCACCGAGCGTTTTTGTGAAACTCCATGATTTTTCGCCCCCGAAGAAGCTCTCAGTTCGCCCATGGTCAACGAAGCAACCCTCGGTTCTACGTGCGCCTGCCTGTTCATATCCCTGGCCTGTGAGTCGGCGTGCCCTGGGAATGGGGACCCAGGCGGCTCCATATATGTAGAAACTCTCAAGCGAGGCAGTTGCTTCTGCAATTCACCACAGTAGCTATCCAGCAAGAATGCCAGCCCGGTCGCCGGTCGCAATGAACAACCAATGCAGAAGAATCAATGAAACCATGGCGTCACTACTGATCGTTGCCCCGCAGCTAGTTGCATTCGAGCCGAGAACCTTCCCGGGGATGCCTAGCAAAACCTTTTCCGCAAACCACGCACTGTTTTTGCCCATGCAAGAGAGAGTGCATCTGATTGTGGATTCGATTGATTGGAATTTTTTATATATAATATTTGGAGAGAATACTTATTCTCATGGAACCCATTTGTTTTGGAACCAATACTTTTGGAGAGGGTGTCTACCAAACAGGTCATCATGTCCGCGTCACCGTTGGCTGCCATTTTGCATTTCCGACACGATACGAAGGCCAGTCGCATTTTGTCTGCGTAGTAGCCGTTGAAGCCACAACCTTGTCACTACGAAGCCCAGGGTCCGTAGCAGCCACTGTTGCCTTGTTGGGCCTGCGCTGCTAATGCTTCGCTTTCCGCCGGTCTGCTCGGGCTTGACGGAGTTGCTGCGTCAACGCTTCCTCGCTGGTATCGTCGGTGGTACCAGGAATATCTGCCGAGTGCTGGCGCTCCAGGGTCCAAATGAGGGGAGGGAGCAGTCTCGGGCCGCAGACTCAGGGCTGTGACTGCTGCGGCGATCGCCTGGATTGTACGGTGTGGGGCCTTCGCAAAGTCGCAAATACAGCCGTCTGGATCGCAACAGCAAAAAGTGCTGCGCCATCGACAGCTTTGCCCAGCACACTAAAGCAGTAGGGGGATGCTCGCTCTGACAGCGGTCGCTCGGGCCTTGAGGGTCCATGGTTTATCTCTTCGGGGTCTTTGGGTCCACAGAGGTTTATGTTAATGAGGCCATTGCATTCGAGCGCCCCTTTGATTCCGCCAGATCTCTTCCTGAACTCATGCTGAGGTCCCTTACCCAGGGCTTTCTTGCAATTCTACGGCATGGGCTGAGTAAGCTTCAGGAGTGGAGGGAGATTTCCAAACAAGTTGAGTCGGAAGACAAGCACGTCAAGGATGCGCTTCACCCGGACGTGCGGCGGATACTGGGAAACAGGCGTCTTGCACTTGTTTGACATCGCCAAGCAACTTGACTGGCCGGATGTTCACCTTGAGAGGGACCTTCGGTCTAGGCTTCCGGGGCTTTTAGAACGTACCAGATGCGAAGCCTGCTACCAGTGACGAGCGCAGCTTTTTGCAGGCGGCCGAGGAGCTCAGGCCGGGCATGCCAGAGAAGATTGGGGCATCACAGTAGCAGAAGCAGATCCCAGGGGAGAATCTTGGCTGGAGGGCCCGCTCACTCTGGAGGAGGTTAACCAGAAATTTCCTGACAGCTGGGCGTCTTGCCGAAAGTTCTCAATTAAGTCACCAGGGGAAGCTCAGGCCGGTTGATGATTTCTCCAAAAAGGGCACCAACGCCCTGTTTGCCTCGTGCGAGCGCGTCACGCTCAAGGCCCTGGATGAGGCGTGTGGGTGACAATGATGATCTTCAGGGTTGCATTCCAAAGGGGAGATAATGCGTTGACCTTGTTGGATGGCGCCAAGTTGGGAGGCCTCCATGTTGCATGGAACAACAAGGAGCATGTGCGGCCTGTGTCTAAAGACTATGATCTTCGCAGTGCGTATAGGCAGCTGCCACTTCATCCGGAAGAACAACTCAAAGCCATCCTGCTCCTCAAGAATCCCAGCAGTGGGGATGTCAACGTGCCCAGTGAGGTCTTACAAAGTCTGAGTGCTTAGATACAGAGTGCACAAGCACGGGAGCCGTGCCCACACATGGACTGCTATGAGTTGAAAACCCCTGGAAAAGTGAAGATCGGATACTTTGGAGACGGAGGTATGCGTGTGGGAATATTTCGATATGAATAATGGGCTTAAGCATTCCAGGGTCTTAGGGGTCAGAACATTGCTTCTTGAGGACGTGGTGACGTGGCTCGATTCAGCCAATTTTGCTTGGATGGACCACATTATTTTCTTTTAAAAAAAAAAACATATGGGGACGAAAAACCCAGGCCCCGAACCCTGTAATCCAAGCCCTAACCCCAATTTCCAACCCGCTACCAGATGGGCTTCAGTTAAACTCGAGCCTCCATGGACTGGAAAAGGGAGAAGGGAAGGGAGGAAGGGGAGGGTAGAGGGGAGGACAGAGGTGGGCGAATGTGCGAGACCATTCGACAGTGTTCGAAGTGTTCGGGAATGTTCGGGAGCCAACCTAAGCATTCCAGGAGCTTAGGGGTGAGGCTACTAAGTAGTGTTCGGAAGTGTTCGGGAGTGTTCGGGAGTATTCAGTGTTCGGGAGTGTTCGGGAGCGTTCGGGAGCGTTCGGGAGTGTTCGGGAGCGTTTTCGGGATTGTTCGGGAGTGTTCGGGAGTGTTCGAGAGTGTTCGAGAGTGTTCGGGAATGCTCGGGAGTGTTTGGCAATGTTTGGGAGTGTTCGGGAGTGTTCGGGAGTGTTAGAGTGTTCGAGAGTCTCCGGGAGTGTTCGGGAGTGTTCGGGAACGCCCCTGAAATGCTTAAGTCAGTCCCGAACACTCTCGAACACTCCCGGAGACTCCCGAACACTCCCGAACACTCCCGAACATTGCCAAACACTCCCGAACACTCTGGAACATTTCCGAACACTCCCGAACCCTCCCGAACACTCCCCAACACTCCCCAACACTCCCGAACCCTCCCGAACAATCCCGAACACTCCCAAACACTCCCGAACACTCCCGAACACTCGCCCCGCCCCGAAGCACTTGTGCCCGGGGGGGGCTTAAGGATGGCCGTGCGGGGGATAAAATGTTTGGCTCGGAGTCAAGGACGGAAGATTCTGAGTGAGCCAAAAAGGTTGCGCATGCCACTCTCAACTGCGACATGCCAGGCCACTTTGAAGAATGTTCAACGGATTTCCGCCTCCAAAATTTTTGCCGCGGTAGGCTCTTTTGTAAATATGCTCGCATATTTCCGTTTTTATCATGTGGTAGTTCCATGTTTGGGGGCAGGATCGGATTCTAGGTCGAACCTTAAAGCCTGTTGGGCAAATTTCCTTGTATCCTTCAGTAACTGGAAGCAAGAATCCTTGGATGAACTTTGAGCTCATCAAATGGGCATCGAGCTTTCTTTTCTCGGCAGCCCAGCAGGCCACGGGTAGCGAATCAAATGCGGGTTTGAGCTGATGTCAAAATTACTTGTTTACCGGTAACGGTGGCATACTGTGGGTGCCCCGTACCGTTTTGCAGGATTAAGAGGTATCGTTTCTAGGGTATCGTTTTTTTGGGGCGCCGTGTATCGTTTTGCGGTGGTTTTAAAATCGTTCTGCTCGTCAAATAAACACCCTTACTGCTCTACAAATAACGGTAATCTTGACGCTACTCCGTTTCAACAGCTGCCTCAAGTTTGCATCGTCATCCGAGCGGAACAAGCATGGCAGCTTAGTGCCATAGGTTCCGGCCCTGAGGCCTTGAGGCGCAGAGCGCGGCCCAAAAAAGAATTCCTTGTGCATTGATCTTGGAACTTACGATTTAGGCCTAGGTCCGGCAAAAACGTCCTACAAGATGCGCTTCCAAATCACGTGTGAAGGTCAGAAGCAATCGAGTTTTTCCCAGCTATGCACCATCTTCATCGTCCCTTAGCTCTTTGTGAGAGCCACTGATGTTTCACAGCCGAGCGGACGGGCGCTGCACGGTTCTTGACAGCTGCAGCTGGGGTACTAACACTTGTCTTCGGCCTCAGGCGGTCACGCAAACATAAGAAATGAGATGCAAGACTGGTGACAGGTATAATCGAAGCGCCGTATTCACCACACCACTCAACGTTCATGAAAGGAATTGCCGGCGCATCCTCTCCGGCCTCGTGCTTGACCATCGCTTTGCACCCTGCACCGTAATCTTCTATTCGCAACAACATGACTTGTCAATCATGCCATCTAACAGTTCACTTCTTCGCCGTGAGCTGTTTCGGAAAAGCACCTACGTTTGGAAGATGCCAGGATACAAGGGAGTCCGTTTCGAAGTGCCCTTCCTGAACCAAAACACTATTATCATCGCACATGATGACGGGGGTGCCTCACCTGCATGGTTTCTGACGCATCAACCTTGACCATCAACATTCACACAGCGGGACTTATTGGTGATAAACGTCTTCTAAATGCGTGATTAGAAGCTTTTGTGCTCTGTCAAGGTTCGGCTTGGCAAACACGGGCAGCAAGTACCAAAACGCGCGTTCTGGCTTCTAAATCCAGTCCAGCAAGCTGCTCTTGCATGCAGTAGTTCAGTGCCGAGTTCGTTAATCATTAAACCCATTCAGACCATTCACTGCTCCATATGTCTGTTTGCTTGCTTCTTACATTTCATTGACATCAGTCACTCCACACTGTCAGGTTCCTTTTGTCCGTTGCAGTTACCTCTTTTAAAGCGATCCGTTACGTCATGATGTTGTTTTGTGGACTATCAGGTCTCTTGCTTTGCATTGGCTCAATTGGCAGAAAGCGTGCAAATTATCTTTGACATGACCCATGCAACAGGCAAAGAAGATGCACTCGTCATGAGTCAGTCGGTTGCCATTTTGCTTTTTACATTGCGCATTTGTCCGCAATGAAGCTGGGTGCGAAATGATTCGCAGCATGATGTTGGCTGTGATTTGAGATGCTTGCACTGGTCGAAGCCAACATTACCTGTAGCTGCAGCCAACTTTGTGCATGTCCGCTTGCTGCGCTACAGCTCGTGCTTATGGCGGTCAAACGAAAACCGGCCGGTTTCGTGCCCATACGCGTTCACGTTTTTTCGCATTATTGCGTCGCCACAGAAGCACATGTGGCAATGACATGGCGCTGAGGTTCATCAACGTGTCAACCTGGCCGAGGCATAACGGAGACAGTCCAGGCTGAGTGCATTAGTGCATTGACTTTATCCAAACGGATCGGCTTTTGTGCTTGAGGATGCGCACTCCTCAAAGTTAGCTGAAGCACCTGGGACATGTGTTAATCCATGGACATCGTGCAATTTCCAGCTTACCAAATCAACGTTCAAATTCCAGGTGTGCATGAAGCAAGCAGCGCGCTTGGAGCAAATGCACGATGATTTGGACAAGGCTTCGCGCATGCAGACAAGTTCTTTTTCAGAAATGTGAGGCATTTGCTTCATTGTTTTTGAGGCAAGTTTGCGGGCAAGCCGTTAGGTAAGTATACACGTAAGCCTTATTGTGGTTTAGGGTCGGCGTCTCTTTCTTGAGCACGGAGAGTAACTTTATAAACCCCGTCTGAATGCACGAATCGGCTACACCTTTTTTTTTTTTTGTGATCATGTTTGAATGGATTTGTGAATACGCTGTGAGACATCGTGCGCATTTTCGACGATAAACGTGATGCCAGGCACGACAAGGTGAAAGAGCTGCACGAGAGGTAAGACAGCAGGTTGCATTTGGTGGCGATGCAACATGGCGCATTTTTGACGATTGCCAGGAGCTTGAGAAATCTCTACGGGCCCATGAGCATGCGCCTCAGCTCCTTGCTACGCTCTGAATGGCAAAGAGTTCGCACGGTTTTGGAGCCACGAGAAGCAAATCGTGATGCAAGCTGAGAGATGAGGCTGGAACGTGCGGAATTCGGAGACAAAGTTGAGCAGATGAAGGCAATGCAGGCTGCGATTGATCGTTAGGATTTGTTAGATGTTAGGCATCGGAACGCATCACATGATCCCGCTCCTTTTCTGAACCGCGCAAAGCTGTGTGCATTGCCTGCCCTAATGAAAGAACGCAACATTCAGGCCTCGTTGCTACGAGAAAACAATCTGCTGTTGGAGGCCTGGTGGCTTCGAAGCCTCCACTGAACTTGCCTTATGTCCTCTGATTGAGAATGTTCTTACCAGTGTTGACAGTGCTTGCCACGATCTTGAGATTGAATCAAGTTTTCGGCTGTTCTGCAGAGGAGCTCATTTCTGTGCTGGGCAGGACGAAGGCCTGTTGCTCTGCTTTTGAAGAAGGTGCTTTCTCAAGTAGTTGGCTCAGTTCCGGAGCCGACCACAAGCCGTGCAAAAGCTTTTTGACACGCTATGCAGCAAACACGAAGCACATTGCGGGATCATGTGAGCTAGGCAGCTAGGCTGCATCGTCTTTGTTGACTTTGAGTCTACTTGGAAGGCTCTGAGAGCCGAGATGGCTTCTGGGCAGCATTCGGACCAGTTTAGCAACTTATGTGTTACCATCATTTACATCAGGTATGGCTGCAGCAATTCCTCCCAGGTTCTGAGCGCAGCTTGGCGGAATTTGAGAACATTCTGGCAGTTTAGGGCCATTTTGAACCTGCAGAACATGCTTTGAGGTTCTGCCACGCCTTTTAGATCTTTGCAGACAGAGGTCTTGCCAGGACAGCTGTTCGGCAAGTGTGTTCCTGCGAACTGGAAGACTCATCAGTAGCAGTGACAACAGCGATGCTAGCTTTGCTTCTTTTGGTACCTGGTTGCTGTTTGGCTGTTGTTGGACGCAGCAGGAGGAGGAGCTAGCTTGTCTGCGGAGACATCCTCAAATCCCTGTTCAGTAGCCCAAACGGTTTGAGTTCAGGTGAAAAAGCTGTGAGGGGCAGAGAAAGGAGCTGTGCATTGCATACTTAAGAATCGATTAAACAATGGATCTGTACTAAAGGAATGCATAGCCCGACAGATGCGATATGAGGTATTTTTTGCCGGAATCTCGATTTACTTGCGCAGGACCCACCTGTACCATGGCAACGGGACAGCGGCTTCCACCCGCGACGCAGGCTTTCGTACTGCTGTTTTTACTGTTTGTACGCTTTAGCCTAATGGTTGCACACGAGAGCTATCAAATTGCTAGGTTCTACCTCCAACGCCTGCCGTCGCCGTTGCATGGACGTGACTCAGCTGGAAGGACTCAATTCTGTGCTCAAAGGTTGCCGACATTGACAGCTGCAGAGGGTACCTCCGACACCACATTTTTCAAGTGTTGTGGCACGAACTATGGGTTGCAACAGAGGCCAATGGGTGTCGCCGGTTTGGCAGATGGAATGGCTGGCCCAGCGCGGCGTGCATGCGAGGCTGCTCGCCAGTGGGGTTTCGATGGTCCCGTGCATTGAAGAGTCAGTCTTTGCAAGGCTAGGGATGTTACTCCCAATAATGGAGAATCAATGGGAAAGCACACGGAAAATGAAATGGACACAGCGGAGATACACTGACTCTTTTTGCTACCCACTTTTTTTCAATTTTGAGGCTGGTCGCGTTGATGGAGGCTCGGGGCAGTGTGAAACAGTTGTTATTCCCATGTATCCCTTCACAAGGGACCTAGGGTCCACACTATACGGGTTTGTATTTGTATTTGTATTTGTATGTATGTATGTATGTATGTATGCATGTATATATGTATGTATATATATATATATATATGTCCTTCTACCCCCTTAAAGGGCTCTAGGGTCTCCATGTCGTTTTCCATCTAATTCTCCATTCGTGGGGACGTAGTCGGTCAGCCTGCAGCACTCCAGGCTCACTTGCCCTGGCTGGCCACCAGCCACGAAGCGCAATCTTCGTGTAAAAAAGGAGGCGTCTAAGTGGCCGGTTGCAGTTGCAGGGCTTCAGCTCTCGGACTCTTCATGCTTGACCTGCACCTCTTCTGCTCGTGGCAACTTTGGCTTCTGGGGTTAGGGTGCAAACAGCACCTTGGGCCTGTTGCTGACTATATGATGGTACTTCAGTGCCTCCAAGGCGGCACGCACAAAGATCGTCACATGCTCTGCCCTTGGGTGCGCCCGTTTGCTTCTGCCTGCCTCCAGGATTCTGCTGACCATGAAGGCCGCCAAAGCATTCAGAGAGCTGTTGAAAGGTGACAAAGTCTTAAGACCCAGTGGAGGCTGGGGCATTTGCAGACTCTGAAAGGAGATTTGTTCCTGGTCGTAAGCAGCGAACGCGTATCCACCTCAACTTCCCTGTCTGCCAACAGAACACTCCTGTCTTTTGCTCTTGCAACTGGCAATGGCTGAGGAATGCAGGAAGCTGGGCGAGTGCCTCAGCGTCTTGCAACCTGACGTTCATTGATTGCACAGCCTTCAATGCCCAGATTTCTGCCGAAGACCGGCGCCAGCTCTTGGGTTCCTCGATTGGTTCCTCGGGTGCCAGACTCTCCGCCAAAGGTCCCTGCAATGCCATTGCCCCATAGGGATCGTCAACGTGAAATCTATTGCTGCCGGAGGCGGCCCATCGTCGGCGCCTGAAACATCATTCCGAGACACCCTCTGCTGAGGAGCGACGCGGTGTAAATGATGCGGAATTCCCCAGAATTCCTGCGCTGCCCTGACCACGGGAAGGTACTGTCAGTTGTTGCCTTGCCAATATGGTTGGGCCATGCTCTCAGGGTCAACCATGCTGTAAAATGTTGTGATCGCGTGCAAGCTGAAGCAAGAGCATCAGGCAGTTCGATTCGCAAAGAGGTTGTTCTGCTCAAGGATATTAAGAGCATTGTGTCTTGGCCACACAAAGCGCTGAGGTTGAATTGACATGAATTGGCACTGTGCGACAAGTGCACTTTGTGGAGCAAAGAGTTGATTGAAGGAGGATGAAATGGTGCAAGAGTTTGATCTTGTTCTGCAGCACCCAAGTGTATTGCAGGGAATTGCTTGCGTGTCAGCGGTAGCTCTGGGAACTGGCCATCAACAAGAGACCTGTATATTGGAAAGGCCATTTCTTAGGAGGGACCATGCAACTGCCCCCAGAGTTTTGGGATAGACTACAGTACGTACATATTGGTTACATTTGGGCTATACATGCTAATTCGTTTTGGTTACGGCCTTTGGGTCGCACCTTAACTCCTTTGAAATTGGAAAAAATCGTGGCAAGGTGCCTGAAGACCTTCACCAGCATGTCCTCGGCCTATTTGCTGGGTCTCTTGTCATGTTGCTTCTCACACTCATGTCTGACGTGGCGTCGAGTGTGATTCAATCTAGGACGATGTTATCGCAATAGAGGAGGCAGAATCAGATGCTTCGCCCAGAGCTCAGTGAAGCCTTGTCGCTGATACTTGCAAAGATGCCTCCATCGCAGGCCTTGGCCTGCATGTGACATGGTATGGCATTGTATGCATTGACTTGGGTCACTCAGAGACTGATTCCTCGTTATTTCAACAGAAGTGTCGAAGGAAGGGAATAAAGCGAGCGTCGGAGAAACAACGGTCATTGCAGCAGCCGAGAAAGCGAACTGAGAGGGATGCTGGGTTATCCGAAACATCCGTTGGAAGCTAGGGGTCTTGGAGCGATGACCAAAGGATGGCATTTTCCTGCTTGCTGCTTGGCGTGTCTGTTCGGAAGGGGGTGGAAGGCATGAAGTACAAGGTCAAAGGATGAGGATGATTTGTGCTACAAGTTAGTTGCAATGAGGGAACTGCGCAGAACAAGGTTCTGTGCCACTCATCAACGGTTTGTGGATGCTGCAGAGCACTTGGAACAAGCCGGGCACTTAGAGATACGATGCGGCAGATGTTTGCATGAGTCTTTTGCTGCGCTCCATCTGCTTAACCTGAGCAAATCCTCCTGAGATGGCATGCCGTGGAGCACAAGTTCTTGCAACCAAGGCAATTTGCGTGCGGCAGCAGCTTCTGGGAGATGAGCACGAAGAGCTGCTGGCCTCGATTGAGAAGTACGCCCGGGCACTCAGCCATCTGTGGAACTGCAGCACCTGTGCAACCTGCATCTGTTTAGTATCGTGCAGAGTCACACACCTTCTTCCGTGCTGAAAACATTTAGGCTCCAGGGAGTGTGTGGTGAAGTAGACGCTTCTTTGTCCCCTGATACGAGCCAACATGGGCAGCACTTATCGTAGTGTGCTGCCCTCAGGAAGTTTTTGCATGGCTTTCACGAGTTGCTGTCTGGAGAATTTCCAAGCATCTCAGGATGGAGCTTCCTCAATGAAGAGGAACCTAACTCTTCCAACCGACCCCGAAGAAGCTCGACAAGCGGCTCTTCGGTTGCGAGCCCTCGGTCTTGAGCCTCCTTGCGCGCATCTTTTTCAGAAGTTCGCGCAACGAGCAGAGTTTATCCAAAGACAATCCCAGAAAGAGCAGGGGGCCAGGGACTTACTGTGATTCTGTGATTCTGTGGTTCCCATGCCTACCGTATAAAGACTCCTGATCCTGTGTGCCACCAGGACATCTTTCGTTCCGAAGTTGTTCGTGGTTCCAGCCTCAGACCGGCAGTGTGACTGCAGGCTGTGGCTCAGAATCCCCCAGAGATCATGAACTGCAGGTTGACGCTATGAGGCCCTAGCTCTGCATCGAAAAGATGCTTTCAGACCAACACGCAAGAGTGAAGCGATTGCGCTTCTATGATTCGGAGGATTCGAAGACATGACTTGGTATAAAAACCTGCTGGACTTTTCCAGCCTGTCAGCACGAGTCAGCCTGGGCTCGAAGCAAAGGCAGAGCTTCCCAATTCACATCCAGCATGAGCTGCCCCTGTTTTTCCTGCTGCATATCTTGTCGGTGAGAGCCGGAGAGAGGATCTGTAGCATGCCTTAATTCAGTGGGATCGGCACAGCAGCCAGGCCCCACCTTAAGGAAGGTGCCTTTAGTGCCTGCAGTCCATCACCCAGGCAGACACGATACTTCAGAAACAAGGTTCGTGACTGCCGTGGGTTGAGCACGCCAACTTGTATATCTTGCAGGCGCTATTTGTCGTCAAAATGCCCGAGACATTAAAGCCCGCTTCGTCTTGTCTTGTGGCTTGAGGACGAGAAGCAATGAGATCCTGACCGCTTGCATAATGTGACGCGTTGACGCCCAGCCGCCGAGGTGGTGTCTTGCAACTCTTGGGGAGTGCATTGCCTGGGCACAGGCAAACGAATCCATTTGATGCCGGCTCGATGCAAGTTGAGCGCATTTGCCCAAGACTTCAAGGCAACTTCACTGCTGCACTGGAGCTGTTCAAAAAGGCTGAGGCCGATTACGTGGCTGCAAGGATTTGCGTTGAGAACCCCTTTGCGACAGGCAATGACGGAGGCTGACAATGTGCCCAACTTCAAAAGTCGAGTCGCCCTTCGTGCTGTGACCTTCAACAATCTCTGCTGCACCTTGCCACACCAGAGCATTGCGGGCGGGATGTCAGCTTGCTCCTGGAGCTTACCTTCTGATGCGCATGAGAGCGTGTGAGGTTACTACCGCACGCGAGGAAAGTTAAACGCTGCCCTCCAGCCTCCTGGCAAGCGGTTGGAGCATGGTATGCCTTGGCAGGCTATTTGTGTGGCTTGTGCTCGAACCATTTTCAATGTTGATGCTAAACTGTTTTGTAATTCGCTGAGGAGTTTGCGGTTGATGTTATCGTCCTTATCCTGCGGTCATCCTTGGGAGCAAACTCCTAAGAACAATCGCGAAGGTTTGCGGAGAAGGCTTTGAAAATCGAGCAGCGGTACAAGGAAGCTGACAGTCCAGCCACTCGCCCGCATTTGCTGCGGGAAGATCCTGTAGGCAAACGCTGCGTTGTCCATTTGGCTTAAGTGGGGCCAGAAAGCTGAAGTGCCTGGTTATTCGAGACAGCCCTTTTTTTTTTTACCGCCTGTCAAAGAGGCTAGCATACAGCAGGCCTTCTGGGAGCGGCATGGCTGCCCGTTTGAAATGCTGGCATTCTTGTGACGCTTGTGGGTTCTAGTTCAATGCATCTGCAGGAGTGTTGAGATGCCGCTTGTTCTCTGTCAGGCGCTGCGGCAGATCTGCACGTGTTTTTTCAGTTTTGAGTACATTGTCGGTGTACGTTGCCATTTTTTTCCATTTCTAAGCCCTGATGCCGTTTTGGTTTAGCTCCTTTTTTGCCTTCGCTTCTTCCGAAAAGTACAATACAAACATCCTTCATACATTGTAGACAGAGTCTTCATGAACATTCAAGTGATTTTGATGTTGAGTGTATCATCTTGGCAAGTCATCGTTTAGTCCTGTCTGACCCCGGTCCATCCACAACTTGATTCTTCGTCCATATTGTCGCGCAGCACATTGTCAGCATTCAAGCGAAATACGTTCGAAAACAAGGCAGTGTGCATTGCTTGCAAGGCTCGATGGTCGCACTATCAGCTTTTGTTGGCGGAAGGCCTGCACCCTCCTGGCCTTTGCAATGCCAACACCAAGCTGAATAACACTTCAGATTGGTTTTGGCCCCAAGGGCCCTGGAAAGCCTGCAGCCTCCAGGCCTTTTTTGGGCCAAAGCCAAGCTGAACAGAAGAACAGATGCCCTTACCCTGCATGTTTTGGCGCGGCAAAGGCCTTTTACTGTAAGCCCTGAAGGCCAGGAAAATGCAACACGCAGGTTAGGATGTCTGGTTTTCTTGTTTTAATGGCACATGTAGCTTGGTGGCATTGACGGTTTCGCACACTCTCATTTTCTTAATCCAATGCCTTCAGAAAGTAGTGCTTTGACTCTTGCCATTTAATGTTAACGAACAAATCAAAAGACTCAGCTAACACTTTCTTTTCAAAGCAGTGGTGGTAAAGCCAACAAAATTGGTGAAACACCTTTTTTGTGGTTCCTTTCATGACTCGTTCAGAGAGGGCGTGACAGGGCTACACAGATGTTTGAGAAGGGGGGTCGTTTGCTGAAGACACATGGTCAAACAAACAACTTCTGAGAACCTGAAGAAGCATCACGTTGAGCCGCTGTCATGCTAAAGCTTTCTGAAAATAGCACGAGGGATTAATTTTGACAATGCCTACTGGTGAGAGCCGTGCGCTTGCATGTGACTTATGGGGCTCATGTCCTGTGGTTTGCTGCCAAGGCGCGGAGCTTTCTCAATTATGGAGTTCTTCTCAGCAACAGCGGCCAATGGCTTTGTAGAGACAGTTTGACAGTTGCCCTGGTAGTCAAGACATGTAGCTTGGCACCGAGGCCGCCACAACGAAGCCTTGGAGCACGTCGAGAGGGTAGCTCGGACAAAGCTTGTGAGTAGGGTGCGAGACGCAGCCTTGGACGGCCTTTTTTCAGAGGCCGTGGCTGTTCTCCACGACCAGGAGCGGCACCAGGAAGCTGAGGCCTGAGGGCTCTGAGGAACTCAGCTGGGTCCGGCTGTAGGAGCCTCTCACGGCTTGCTTTGAGGTGGGTGGGGGCAGCGAGCCTTCAGAGACTGCCCAGCTGCTGGTAGTGCCACGCTCAGTGAGGTCTGGCAGGCTTCGACTTAACCACTGACGAATGATGACGCATGTGCAAGGTTGCTCATTACAACATGTTTGTTGAGAATTTGCACCTCAAGCATTTTGCCACATGTGATGGGCTCAGTTCGTATCCCTGCCCATGCTTGTATGTTCTAGAAGGGTCGCTACTGCTTGGCACAGGTCTTCAGTGTTTGCAGCGTGCAGTGAATGTCGCGCAGAGCAAGCTGGGATCGCTACATCCCAAGTTCATCTTATCCGAACCCAGTCCCAGAGAAATTTGGGACGGACCGAGGTCGCACAACTTGACCATAAAGATGCAAGGCGTGCAGGCCGAGGCACAAGCAAGGCTCGAGCGCAAGGCCTGGTGGGTGGAAGTCAGCCTGAAGCAAACAATTCTAACAACCTGTAGGCTTCGGCTGAATGCTTTAGAACGACCGCAGCAGTTGTGGAGTCGTCGCCTGTGTTCTTCCACTACCAGGATCTCAAACCATTCAGGACGCAAGGGTATGATGACATTTCGCAACAGCCGCCAGGATGGACATTGCCACCCATGGCAGAAGGTCAACATTGCGCAAACAGATGCCACCCGTGTTGTCAACTCAGATGATTTCAGAGAACAGTTGGAAACGCAGTCAGGATTGGGACGTTTTTTAGGCGCAGGAGATCCTAGCGGACCAAAAGCAGATAACGCTTCGCCGGCTGAGGCCTGATAGCAACATTGCCAGAAAGTAGCCTGGGCTGGAAGCCATCGAGGCCTGTGGATCCACGTCCTCCAGAAAAGCCCCGGATACGGAGTCGCAGGCACAACAGCGTTTTATTCACACGTCTCAGACAGATCTGGATCACCTTCTGTAGTTGGGTCTAGAAGGGTTTTTTCTTTAAGCATCAAACACCACTTGCCGCAGCTCCTTTGAGCCAAGCTGTGGTGTCCCACCCTGCCGCTGCCCACCGAGGGTATGGCTTTGCTTGAGAGCGGCCTGATAAAAGCTTGCTGGAGTCATGGTGGAAGTGTCACTCCAGATACTTTCTTCGGATTCCTGCGTAAAGGGACTTGCGTTCGAGATTCAACATTGATCCCTCCTGATTCCATGAAACCAGGGGCTTACGATCTCGATTTTTGCCAATGTACACCTTACGTAGGTGTGACATTGAGTAATGTTGTGCGTGAGATTTCGCTCCACACGTAAAATGCTCGGACCGCTTCTGCAGCGCCGTTTGCTGCTGTTGAGAAAAACAGCACCTGCTCCAGGCCAAAGCCGTCGGAAGCTTGGATTCCTGTGTGCTACGTGTTGTTTGACGTTTTGGGACGAAACCGGACTTGACTTCCAAGGCAGATCTACGCCAGGTTGCCAGCCATTGGCAACGAGGTCACTAGCCGCCGCCCGGAAGCAAAATACAGAAACCTTTCCACAATGTTCCGCTGTGGGCACACCAGTGCTAAGCGCTGCTGAGCTCATGTTTTTGTAAGGCTGGTGGGCGTCACATCCCAAGCTGCTGGACACCGAGGGCTATGCCGGCTCTCCCATACTGACGCAGCAGGCTTCTGCTTCGCTTCTGTGAAGCTTGCAGTCAAATTCTAAAGGATAGCTGCCTTTGACCAGCTCGAGGCACATGGGGCACAGCCCATGGTGGAGCTGCTTGCGCTTCGGCAGTGTGCTGGCCGAGGGCAAGACGGAGGCACCTGGATAGAAGAGGGGTTTCCCGGGCATCTTTTTTTTTTTCGTTGCCAGGACATGGTATGGACTCTGAAGCGTTGGAGCCCTGTTATTCGGCATCAAAGGTTGGTGCACAGTTGCAGATTGCCAAACATAAGGCTGCAGACGGACCTCGATGCTGTGAGCGATGTGCGTGGCCTGGTGTCCGTCAGTTGAAAGTCCTGAAAAAGCGGGGGAAGGGTAGCATATATATATATATGTATTCATACAGATATAGATATATGATATAAGTATAGATAGCATATATCAATATATATATATATAGTACATATTACTACTGTTATTGTTATTGTTATTAATCACTCTTATGGTCATGCAAGGCCAAAGCCTCCACACAGCCGATGCCTTACCACCTGACCACCTGATCCAGGGCAGCAGTGGAGATTGAAAAGCGAGCCCCGAGGCCGCTGCCTTTGGGACGCCAGCAAGTGATTCCTGTGCCGTCCGGGCCTTTGCTCAATCTCCTACCACAGATGCTTGCCTTTTCTCGATGAGAAAGCCTAGGCCTGGGGCACCGTCACAGCCTGAAAGCTGTGAAGCCCGAGCATGTTCTGAACTTGAGGGGCGTCCAAAATATCCAAGGCCTGAGGTGGTTGCATCTTGGGAGTATCATCATCGCAGGCCTCGGGCAGTGGTGACTAGAGAACGAGCCGATGAGCTTCCTGTGAAGCGCTGTGAAGAATGAAGCAGGTTGCAGATGCTGGAGGATGGTGGTGGGCTCACAGCCCTGGAGAGTTGACCTCAGCAGCTCCAAGTCACGAAAGCTAGCGGAGCTAGGCTTGAATGTAGTCTTGCTCTAGCTGTAGTAGCATTCAAGGCTTGGCAAGCTGCGAATCATGCGATATAGAAGAGCATGCGGGGAAGGGGGGGGGAGGCGTCGAACGTGACTCTTCCATAGGGATGCGAAGGATGCGAGGAGGGGTGCGAGGAACCGTAGCTTTTTCTTTGCTTTATTTCTTTTTCCTGAAGGGTGAGGGGAACGGTCTAGTGTGATACCATCAGGGAGGATTCGCAGGAACAACATCATGTCTCTTTGGCAATTGTACGAGTAATATCATGCTCGGCGGTTGCATGAAATCTCCCGACTCCTCATGTACCCCTGCATGTTCCTTGTGCGGGTAGCATCATGCTTGGTGGTTCCTCCTCTTGTAGTGTTCACTACTCGTGTGCGGTTATGCTACGAGAAGCATCATGCTTGGTTGTTGCATGCAACCTCTTTATTGTTTGAAGCGCTGCCTGTGCTTGCGTCAAGCCTCCCTACTGTCTATGTGGCGCATACCCGTGCTGGCCATGGTACTAAAATTATCATTCCCGGTTGTTGCGTTAGGCCTCACTCCTTCTTCTGTAGTCTTCACGAACCTTGTGGTGGCTGTGAGCGCAAAGTCATGCTTTCTGGTTGCAGAAACTCTTCCTGCTCCCCCTCTGCTGCCCTGGCATGGTTAGGACGCGAAGAACATTCTGCCTGGTGGAGTTGGATCGAACCTGCTTATGTTTTCTGTTATGTTCAGTCTGTAGTGCTCACTGCCCTTGCAAGGTGATGGTGCGGGTAACAACACGCTGGGTGGTTGTATCAAACCTCCATACTCACTCGCAGTGCTAAACATTGCATGCTCATTTTACACATATCGTTATGCTTGGTTGCTGCATCAAGCCTCCTTATTCTTCCTCTGGTGTTCTGAACCCTCTTCCTATTCTTTCTACAGTGTTCACGACCCTGGCATGCTGCTGATGACATGCTTTCCGGTGGTTGCATCTAACCTTCCGGTCGTGTGCACCATTGTTGATGGTCGCGGTACGAGTGGCATCAGGCTTGCTGGTTGCATCAAACCTCCGTACTTGCTGTGTATTGCGCCATACCCAAGCAAGGTCATGATACAAATTGCATGATGCTGGATACAAACGAATCGTGCTGGTCGTTGCGTCAAACCTCCCTGCTTGCGCTGTAGTTATCACGTACCTGCAAGTATCATCATGCTGAAAGTTTGCATTGAACCTAATTGAGACATGACAGGTTTTGTAGTGTTCACTACGTACCTATGCACGGTGATGGTACAGATGACATTGCATGGGGCTTGGTGTTTGCATTGAAGCTCCCTACTCGCGTGCCCTTGCATGGTCATGGTACCAAATACATCACTCCTCATCGTCGCACTTGGCCTCCATTCTCCTTGTCAGTGTCCGATTTCTTTGCGTGGTAAATTATGCCAGTAACATCATGCTCGCTGCTTGCATCAAATCTCCCTGCTCTTTCTGTAGCCTTCTGTGGCCAGGGTGCAGATAACATTATGTTTGGTGGTTGCATCCAACCTCCTTTCTCCTTCTCAGCCATTTGTTTCATGTAACCTCCTTTGCGAAGTGCACCGCAGAGACTCGTTGCGCGTGTGTCCGCAAGCGTTTGCAAATCGCCTGCAAAGCATCCGCAAGCGTTCGCAAGCGCCTGCAGGCGCTTGCAAGGGTTCGCAGGGTCGCCATCCTTGTATTAGGCAAGTGTTGTTGCTTTTGAACTGTCGTTGCTGCGTCGGTCATAAGTGCAAAAGGTCTCGGTGACGAGGCGGCTTGGGTTGCCATCCTTGCAACTGTCGTTGCTTTTGGAGTGTCGCTTCTTTGTCGGGTGTGAATTATGCCAAAGTCACAGGTATGAGGCCCCTTGGGATCGCCAGCCTTGCAACTGAGTGGAGTCGAGTGGAACGGACAGGTGCTAGGGGAGAGTGGGGTGAGAAGTGGAGTGTGGAGTGCTGAGTGGAGTGGGCAGTGAAGTCGGAGTGGAGTGGTGAGTGACGAGGAGAGATGCCGAGAGTGAAGCGGAAATTGGAGTGGAAAGGGGAGCGAGAACGGAGTGGAGAGGGGCGTGGAAAGTGGACTGGCAAGTGGATGAAAAGATGCGACAAGTAGAGCACAGAGTGGGGTGCACAGTGGAGAATGTACTGGAGAGTGGAATGGAGAGATGGGGTTGGAGGAGTGGACTTGCGAGTTTTGCGTGTTGGGTGTGGAAAACGCAGAGCGGAGCGAACTGGAAAGTGCACTGGAGAGTTGAGTGAGGCGGAGAGTGGGTCTGGCAACGCGGATTGGACTGGAAACGTGATTGGAAAGTGGAGGGAAATGGACAGGGATAGACGGGGAAGTAAAATGAACATTAGAGTGGAAAGTGGCATGGAACGCGGTTAGAAAGTGGGGTGATACGTGGTAGGATAAGGAGTGGAAAGTTGAGTGGAAAGTGGAGTGGAAAGTGGAGTGAAGTTTGCAAGGTTTTGGGAAGGGTTTTGTGATCCCTGGACGAGGTTTGTGCTTGTTGCTGGCATGCACTTTCCCTCCTCCCCTACTTCTGTGCCAAAGCCTGCCTAGCTTCCATTGGCCTCAGCACACCCCTCAAGTTGCACAGCTGAGTTTCTCCTAAGTCCAAGAGCTGATGTAGTACAATCTTTATAGTAGACTAGGCATGAGATTCGCGTGCTTGATCTTTGCAGTTGACATGGTAGTTCCAAGGCCGCAGCGAATGCGCGCCATCACAGTTTTGCGTGATAGGTGCAGGGCCTGTGCTGATTTGGGAGCTCCATGGCAGGCCTGCTTGTGCTTTTTCCTGGCAGGCTAGACAAACGAAGAGAGAAGGGCCTTCCCACCCCGACGGACTACAAGAAGCATCAAGCGGCGACCTGCATTCAGGTGCCTCAGAAGTGGCGGCATTTTTGTATCGCATTGGACCTGTTGTTAGTGGAACATTGTGACCGTCTTTGACGTGCGTGCAGCCAATCAGACAGCGGAAGAACCAGAAGCATCACTTGTTGAAGGGCTCGTGCCTGGCTTCCGCTGCCCCAGCATGAGGCAGGCATCCGTGGCTACTTGGTGCGGCAGTGGACCTCGGAGGAGAAGCTAGGGCCGAATGCTCACAAGCCATTGGCATGAAACGGGTTGGGGGGTTTGCTGGCAATGGCTGTTTGGAGCATCCAGGAGTTGGCTCGTGAGATGCGTCGACAGCGTGCGCTCGAGGCATGAAGCATACGATGGTAATACGATAGTCGCACTCCAAGGGTTTCGTCTATATAGATGATGTGTTGCACCGTGTGACAATGTTTGGTGTCTCAAAGCTCCATGACGAAGCAAGATGCGTGAGCAGGCCTCTGCCTTCGAAAGACTCGACCTTGGTCTGATGGTTGCAGAAGAAGCTGACAAGTTCTTCAGGTCGCTGGTTGCGTAAAGCCAAGGTTCTCCCACAAGTGATGCCAAGAAGAGAGCAGCTTATCGGGCCGGCTGCTTGAGACCATTGGTATACAGTGACTGAAAGCAGATGCTTGCAGGTGATCTATGCAGCACGCCGCGCCTTTGTCGAGCAAGAGCCTCGGCGCTTCTGAAGGGATTGGCTGATATTGGCTGAATGTGTAGCGCCATGAAGTATGATTCTCACAGGGTGCATGGCTTTTGCGTTCAACCCTGTTTCTGAGGTACAATGCCGCAGTGAAGATACAAAAAGTGGCCAGGGGTACCATGACAAGAGCCAAGCTGAAAAGGCGCCTTTGCCTTCTTTTTCCTTCCTTCTCTTCTCAGAGTGCAAAGCAAAGGGCATTTTTCGTTTTCACCTTTTGAAACGCTGGAGGCAAATCAGCCGGATCGCCCACTCTTCCGCTGCCAAAGTGCAGGCATCTGGCAAAGTTCCAACTCGCGATGTTCCAAATTCCTGCTCTGCAGGCGCTCGTCCGTGGGAGGTCTGTGAGAAGCAGCCTCAGGCTCGGCCATGCTCGCATCGCTCTGAGAGATAAATCCGAAAGTGCGAAAGCGGGCGCCCTGTTGCAGGAGGAAGTCAGAAGCGGCAACGCAGATTCAGGCGAGGAACAGGATTTCAGTCTTAGCTTCTTTGATCATAAGATGGAGTCTGGCCCAAGTTGTGTTCTTGCAGGCCTTCGCCAGAATGAGGTCGGCCAAGCGTGAAACAGAATCCATTCGACGGATGTCAAGGCTGCCGACAACTATGCTGCATGGCATGGCACCCTGCTGCAAGGGCGTCCAGCGATGCCCAGCGAAAGCTGCAAGAATGCTAGGGGTGGGGAGCTTTGGAGAGCTAACCGGCATGGGGGACTGAGATGGGCTGGGTGAGGACCCCTCCCGAAAGGCTTTTCTTGACATTTGTACTTGGAATTGAAGCGAATTCGGATCCAAATGCGACAGGAAGAGGTAAGCTGCAGCATCTGGAGCGCAGCAAGGGAGTCAACAGACCCGTGCTGCCTTTGGGGGTGCTTGTGGATCAGTTTTCGGAGTTGCTCTTGACGAAAAACATTTCTCCTTGGCAGCTGCAGCACAATTCTGCTAGACTGTAGGGGGCCTTGACTGCCTGTCCCTTCATGCATGCTTCATGTGTCGTGAAGAGCTTGTTTAAGAAACCTGGCTATCCTGACTGCGGCAGGCTGGCAAACAAGCTTGCCCGTGGATTTCTGGTCCGCCGGCAGTTGCACAAGCAGCAGAAGGCAAGACCTGTGGTTTTTACATAATCTTGCTTGTGAGGGTGCGTGTGTGTAAGTCAAACGGCATCACCGATGATTGCTGTCAAGATTCAATTTCCTGGGCTATCGTTTCAAGAACTGCAGGTCATCTTTGTGTTGCCTCATCCCTCATTAATTCTTTCTGACCTCAAACAGACCGTGGATTAACGTGATACAGGTGAAATCAAGTCCTTCACAACAAAAAGAGCACACACACACACACACTATCAAACACTCTTTCCCGTCGATTGCTTCTCTGCAACCATTGCCTCTATGAATCTGCTTCTGAGCTTCGTGTCCGATTGATTGCAGGAAGTGCCTACTGGTAGGTCGAAGGAAGGTTCAAAGCCTGCCTTGGATGCAGGCAGCAATTCAGTTGCAGCGCTTGGTACGAGGGGTGCAGACGCGACAGTGGTTTGCGAGGCGCAAGGCAGCTCGCTGAGTTTGTCATTTGCTTTTCGCAGCGCCACGTTTTGACCCCGTGTCTGTCAAGGCTGCCGTGCTGCAGATCCAGAGGGTAGCCAGGGGCAGTGCATGTCGAAGACGCCTCTTTCAACGTTCACAGTCTAGCACCCTGATATCTGCATACTGGCGCGGACATCTCTCCAGGACCCACCAAAGTCGCATGACCAGAGCGGCTACTACCATCCAATCTGCATACCGCTCCTCTTTGGAACGACGCTGGTTCTTGAAGCTGCGAAAAGTTGTCAAGAAGCTGCGCTTGATGAGTGGCGGTTCCAGCGGTGCTGGCTTCTTTGAAGACATGTCCAGAATGATGCAGATACATTCGAAGACAATGACGTTTTTCCAGAGGCGGAAACTGTTGGGAAACACGCTGGAGGCGGTTCGCATTCAGCGCTTCATGCGGGGATACCAGACACGCGAGCGCCTGAGAAGAGCTGTTGAATCCTGCATCCGTATACAGGCCTATCAAAGAAGCTTAAGCACCCGACGCCGAATGGTGGCGAAGATTCTGGCAGCAGTCAGGCTGCAAAGTTTTACTAGGGCTCGGCAGGCTGTGCGGAGGCGGGAGCAGCAGACGACCGCAGCAATGCGGATTCAAAGCGTGCATCGAGGCCGTTCCGAAAGGCTACGACTGAAGGCGGTCACTGCCGGCATAGTCAAGCTTCAAGCGCTTTGGCGTGGAGTGTGGTGCCGGACAAAGAAAGCCGGAAGGGCGCAGCGAGAACGTTCGGAAACAGATGGCACGGAAATTGCGGACTTGTCTCGGGACAGCTTGGATTGGGATCCTGTACTGGCACCGATCCAGGCTACACTGCAGGGTGTTCTGGCCTGTGCGCGCAGCCCCACACAGACACCGAGCGATTTGGAATGCATGGAGGACGACAGCAGAGCGGCCTCAGTAGACTTTGATCCGACTCTCGGCGACGGGCGGGGCCATTTCGACAGCACGCAACTGGAGGAGGGGACTTGCTGGGTGTACATCGTCTCCAATAATATGCCCTCTAACATAATCCAGAGCCATTGATGTGAGACTTTCGTTTCTGCAGATGTCTGTTGCAGCATTTGGCCTAGCCCAACTTTCTGATCCTGGCCTGTTCAGGAGGCATCTGAGAGTGATGGCCAGCTTGTTGGCATCATAGTGTCGGAGGCCTGTGTGCTGGACGAAACCTGCTCGCACCTGGCCGCCTGGCTGCAACTGCTTGTTTTTGTGTAATGATAGGAATTGCTATGACTGCAGCGCATTGGCAGAAACCATCCTGGATTCAATTGTGGATTGCCTATCCCGTGCATGCAGAAGTTCACTTGACCGCTGAATGCAAACGAGACTGGTGCATCTGATGGATTGCAGCACCATTCACTTCATGTGTAATAACCTGCTAAGGCAGAACACACTGTAGCATTTGTGGGGTCAGCACTCCGACAGGACGGCCTGAACTCTTCTTGCGGTGAAGCTGGCTGGGCGAATCTGCGAGAGGCTTCGCATCCATTCTCCTCCGCTACGAGACCCATCATGAGATTGCAGCCTTGCGAAATCATAGCAAAGGGGCCAGCAACCAACCTGTCTTGTGCGAAAGCCATGTGAGCCAAAAGGGCAAGAGTCAGAGCTTGAGCTGTCTG